CGACCTCGGTGGGGAGGGCAGCGGCCAGGCCGGCGAAGAGGGGGAGGACGTGCGAGAGATGCATGTTGAAGGTTGGAAGTGGTGATTGTTCTCGGAATGAGACTGATGTGTGAGTGTGCGTGTGAGGATGAGGATTTCAAGATGGTTGGAATGGCGGCGTCGAGTTCCTCTTATACCCAGAGTCCGACTGCAGCACCGGATCTCGACATCGCCGTCGTCTCCCCACAAAGGCGTGATGTTGCTTCCTCTGCGTGTTGCTATTCTCGTCCGCACTCCCGAGAGCTCTTGTGTAGATTGCTTCTACTCTACTCTCCGCACCCGGATGCTACGTGTTGCCCCATTGCGGTTCTCCCTTTGTGCTGCTCCGAGCTCCTATATCGCGGAATGGAGCGCTGGGCGTTGTGAAGGAGGTGACGGGTCTCCTGACGGCTCTTCTGGCCTTGCTGTAAGGTTCCCAAAGTCGGGCTAGACAGGTCGTCGAGAGGGGGCCCACTGGAACCCAGCCAACGGCGGCGAACGCCATATGAATTCTGATATTAAATTCTGGGTGTCCCGGGAACGCGGTGTGTCGGGGGCAATCTAGGGTCGGCTGCTCTTGATGCTATTTTGGTTTGGTCTCTTAGGAGCCTCCTCTTGCTCTGCACCAGTACCCTGCAGTCCCTCCCACACCCAAGATCCAGCTGGCTGGTGGCGATGGGGTTTGAAGGGGGGCGGGGGTGGGGGACGCGAGCGAATCGCTTTAGAACCCGCCTTGTTTTGGGCGTCGCCGTCCTCGGCCAGGCTCGGTGCAATTCCCATGCGGGCCACACTAGACCTCATTGCTTGCTAGGGGGTAATATCGACATAACGCCACCACAGTCAGAGATCAAGGGGACCAAGACCTCGTTCTCCCAGAGCAGACGGTGTTGAACACGTGAGATGCTGGACCCAGCACAGATTTCCTACTGCACGGTGACTGGAACCCGGTTACTGGCTAATTGTCGACGACTCTCTTCCTATACGGGGCATGAATCCGGGGTGGCCAGTCACTGGGAGACGGTTCGAATAGGCTAAAACAGAATAAACAACAAGATAGAGCAGGTGGGCATCGCCGTGCTCCGGTTCATCCAATCATCACCCCGCATCCCCGAAACAAGGTTTATACCCCCCTCGCGGGCTCTGATTGAAGGGTTCGGGCAGAAAGGGTATTTCATCCCATTGGCGACAACCTCTAGCTCGTCGGTTGCTGCTCGGCTAGGTCAGGCCACGCTCTTGCGGTCCCTTGAGCCGATTGTAACATGCTCGTACGGGTCATCTCTGCGATCAACATGTAGCGTAAGCCACAGAGTTGGCAGAGAGCAGCACGAAGCCGTGGCGCTGGCATCAAAACACTTTCCGCGACCAATAGGCTTCTTGCGGGCACATGTCAAGGTCTGTCTCGGCCCACTCCGACTCTTGTCAACAGTAAGAAATGCGACGACGGCTGGTAAGCATCAGGCTTGGGCCTGACCACTCGCTTGGAAGAGTTGTGGAGTTTTTCCGCCCATGGTATTAACTCGTCGGCTGTACTACAGAAACCCGGGCGCCGAGCTTGGCAGCAGACCACCGACCTGGTCATGGCCGACCTGTATGCGGCAAATATGGGGGCGGGAACAAGTGGGAATAGAGGCAAAGCTGACGCAGGCGACGGGGAAACAATCGGCCAAATGTAGGAGATGTTCAGCTCGATAACGGCAAACACTAGCAAGACGCTATCCAAGGACGAAGGGTGCTGACCTGCTCGCAGACTATACCGACAGTATCTAGGTAAGGATTGGCAAGAATTGCAAGTGTCACGATCAACTCTTGATCAGTTTGTTTTGATCCCCTAGTTGAAGGAATGTTCGGTGTCTGAACCGGGATGCAACTTGGGCCTCGGTTTGGTGAACGAAAGTGTGTCGCGTCATGTTATGCTGAATGAGGATGGCAGCAATCAACGACTTCTATTATTAGTAGGGTTAGAGTACCTCCGCACTTGCATATTGTGCGACGCTGAGAACCGGGACCGTCAAGCGGCCGCGAGGGTACAGGTAGCTGTCATAATTGTTGTGCGTGTGGGGAATTGGAGAGGCTGCTATATCCCACATCAGGTATTGTTTGCCGTCCACTTGTTGCATTTATCCGATTGCACAACTACTCTTACGGAGCTCAGTCATCTTGTACCTACAATATATGTGTGTAACATTTGACCGAATATAAACAATACGGCCGGGCGTGCCCTATCTCGCCAGCCCTTCCCGTCGCCCGAGCTCTGATCGTGGGTTTGTTTAACCTGAAGTCATCAAATAGCCTCCTCTCTTCGGTGACAGGTTCGTTCGTCTTAGGAGATGCTCTTCCGTGTTGAATTTAGGTCGGTTTAAGCTCAGAGAGGTCGACTCTCTAAGGACCCTCTAAATTCCCAGCCAGTAATTTCCGCTACAACACAGCTATCGTTTCATTATGAGAATCGGATGATTATGTAAAGCTATAGTACTGGTGCTAGTACTAGGTAGGTAGACTGCCTAAAGAGTCCTCGCTCGGTAATACTCTAGGACATGTGCTGTCCCGTTTTATCGGGAATGTTCTAGTTCGCACACAATACCACGAAGGAATACATTGCTCTGTGTGTTTCCATCTGAACGACTGGGTGATGGACTATCTTTCTACAAAGTTACACCAAGACCAGATGCCGCACCTGAGCCAGCGTGTCAAACGCATCCAGCTCAAACCCATCATCCAATTCCCAACCTTCAAAGTGACCGATCCGCTGGTAGCGGCCCTGTTCTTCAGAGACACACCGCAAAACCAGGCCAGAGGCAAATTGTACCTCTTCGTTTGTCTCGGGGTGATCTGGGTCCCAGCTCCCCAAACTGCTGCTGCTTAAAAGCAGGCAAACAACAGACGCCTCGTCGGGGACAAAGGACTCATTATCCGTCCCAAGAGCGTAGTCGGGTGCAAATGTGATAAGCTTCCCCCCAATCCTGAGACCACCATTCCTCTCCAGACTCTCCTCGCCCCACGAGTTTCCCCCCCTGTCGAGCACTTGCTTCCACATCCCACCGTGATACGATATCGCATCAACCACAGGGCCGGATACTCGGATTTCTGCTTCGACAACATCACCCATGACGTCCACCCCGCTGTAAGTCATGTTGATGGACAGAACCTTTGTCTTGGCGCTTTCGTCGTCAGCGTACTGGAATTGGACCGGGCCCGCAGTCGATGCCCATGACCAAGTTGGTATCGCACCGTCTGGTCTCGGGGAGACCGGTACCCCATTTTTCGGATGCCAAAACAAGGCCCCCGGGAGGTCTTGGTCCCACAGCCCACAGAGATATCTCCCGGGCGTCGTGGCTGCTGCATGGATCGTGGCAATCCCAGCAAGAGCCGGCAGGCGGTCCGTGATCCGTGTAAACTCTCTCTCCGAGTATTCCTCGACAATTTCCTTCCACTCTCTGGGCCTCGTTTCCTCTTCGCCGCCGTCCTCGTCCACGTTTCCGTCTTCTCCCTCTTCCCCACCATCTTCCACTACCCCCTCTCTCTTAACCCCAAATCGATACCAACCGCACTCACACGCCATCGCCCGCTTGCAAACCCACACCACCTCCTTCTTCGTAAAATGCGCCATCCTCCTCGAGAGCCACTGCTCCTGATATACCCACCCCCTCCCCAACAGCGGCCACTGTCCCTCATCCTCCCCATCGGCAACCCCTACCCCATTCAACCACCTAAAATGCTCCACCTCCTTCCTGACAAAGACCCCCCCTCCCATCTGCTTGACCTTCTCCCCGTCCCTCGGCCCAGTAAACATTCCGCCCGTTCCCCCACCGCCCCCCTCCCCTCCACACCCCGTCGCCGCCACCGTGACCTCCGCTCCCATATACACCCCCGCCATCATCCCCGCCTCCCTCTTCCAATCCTCTACCGAATCCTGCACGATACACAGACTGTCAATCCACACCCACTCTAGCCCGAACGCCCGCACCGCGTGCACCGCGTCGCGCATCAGAGGCGGGATGTCTGCGATGCGGATTCCCAGCGTGACGCGGTCAGGGAAGTTGGCGAGTGTCAGGATAACGGAGGCGGTGGATGTGGACCAGCGGTGCGAGAGAGCGGCGTAGGGGGTGGCGGGGGGAGGGGGCTCGTGGAGGACGAGGGTGTTGGTGGAGATGTAGAGGAGGCGGGTGGGGGTGAAGGGGGAGACGGCGGCGCAAGTGGTGTGGGAGGCTTTGCAGTTTTCGAGCCATGACTTGGCGAGGGAGAGGGCAGTGGGGGAGCCCGTGCTGGTCAGGGGGAGAGGGAAGCCGATGCGGAGGGAGGGGTGGATGGCGGTCAGCTTTGGGTGGGGCGTGGCAGGGGAGGTGGGATGGCAAAGTTCGAGGGTGAGGAGTTCTTTGGCCTTGAAGGGAGGGTATTCGTCCTTGGGGGTTGGGCTTGAGGTCGAAGTGGATAAGTGACACAGCAGCTTCCCTGGTTCGTCTTGTCCGATGAGGTCTGTCGGGAACCACTCGAGCGAGGTACATCGCTCCAAGATGCCAAGCTCCTCGAGGTAGCCGAGGAGCCTGCGGCAGGTCGGACAGCCACGATGGGTCGAGTCGGCAAGATTGGAAGTCGGGACCTGGTGAGTATCAGAATAGGCAAACACCTGGTTGACTGGGGGCTGAATGTCGGTCGAAAGCGGCGTGATTTTGAGGGAAGGGTTGTCATCGCTGACAAGCTGCTTGGGGAAGACAAAGAGACACGTCGCGCAGTGTCGTGGTGCTTTGTCAATCTCCAAACGAGACAAAAAGTGGCGGACAGTTTCCATTGTTTATTTTGGTCAGGGGTAGGTAGCGTTTAGACGTTAGTTTTGGGACAGGCAAATTTTAAAGTTGGAAGGAAGGAACTAAATGATCTCCGCTGAATCAGCGTGAAAACACCGTGCACACCAAGTCCTTAAGCCACAACGCGACGTGAAGCACAGCCAGCCAAAAACCTTTGTACTACTGGCAAAATGACAAGTTTGGAGGAGCTGGGAATCGGACTCAGGACCTTTCGCAGTAATCCCCTGACAAGAACTCCACAGATGTAATTTCTAAATGCGGAACTGCTAAGCGAACGCTCTACCAACCGAGCCACACCCACGACCGCTTGATAAGGAGATGGAGGGTTGTGCAGCCTTGGCGGAAAGAAATATCGATCGCATCAGCGTCCTCCCAACTCCGCTGAAACTTTTATGAGTTCCCCCACATGCTTATAGTAACCTGGACTGTCAACCTCCAAGAGCTTAGAAGATGCGTTACCTGAAAGCATCTTACAAAGTCTGGAAACCAATATTTAGAGTGGGAAAAGGTATTTGCTGGGTGAAGTTGGACATACAGTACTAGTACAAGTCTTGTTCAGATCAGAACCCCCTCAGCAACTCGTCCACATCCATCGGACCAACTCCTGCCCCTGTCTTCCAGCCCATGAAAATGTCTTCCATCGCCGGCGTCCATCCTGTCCTCTTCATGGCCATTCTCGCCATATCCCCGTCGGTTCCCCATCTCGGCATCCTCTCCAGCGTTGCTCTCACCTTTGCCCACGCCTCATCCACACTCGCCTCCTGGAAGTCCTCAGGTCCCCCACTCACAACTTGAGAACTGCCAAGAGGCCTCCACGGCTTCTCGTCCGCCTCGCACGTCGTCCACTTTCCGCCGAGGTAATCGTCCCCGTCAACAACGGGTGGCGGCGGAAGCTTCCCGTCAACGATGTAGTCTCGCACGATCTTGGCCGAGCACCGCGACGCAGCGCTGATGGTGGCGTGACCCACAGACTTGACCTCCAGAAGACCAGCGTCCTCAAACTTGAGAGCCATCTTGACTGCCGCAAGAAGGGGTGTGACGGGGTCGAGGGTCATGGACATGAAGAGAAGCGGATGGTTGGTCTTGACCTGCTTGCCGTCTTGCGTCGGGGTGTTGGTCCTCGGCGGAAAAATGTCCCACCCGTTGCAGACGAGCGTGAGTTGAGTCCAGAAGTCGGCAAACCCTGAGTACTTGGACAGCTTCCCGTAAAGTCCTTGGACTTCGGAGACGGTAAGGTTGACCTGAGCTGTTAGCTGAGCCTTGTCAACCAAATGAGACAAACTCACTGGTTTGACCTTGTCCGCGCACATGATCGCCCGCTGAGCATCCGTCGGAACGAGAAAGTTAAACGGAAACATCGCCACCGGCGGGTTGCACAGCGCCTCGAGATCCGAATACAGGCCAGCAACAGTCTCCCACTTCTCCTGATGCAGCGCATTCAGCAACTCGGCCAGCGGCGGGAATCGCTGAATCGGCGAGTACAGCGACACAAACATGAGCGCCCTGACCACCTCCTCCCTCAACATCACGGGGAACTCGAACATTGGATGTGTAAACACCACCGGCTCCCTCTCCAACCTTTCCACCACCCCGAGGTACCTCCTCTCCACCTCCTCCACCCCATCGCCTTCACGATACAACGCACACTCCCTCCTCGCCTCAACACACGTCCTGCAAAACCACTCCACGACCTTGTCTGTATCCAACAAACTCTCCATCCACACCTCCGTCTCATACAACTCCGCATCCACCACCCCGTCCAACACTAGCCTCCCCACCCTCTCGGGAAACATACGCGCAAACACCTGTCCCAAATACGTCCCATACGAGAAACCCCAATACACCAACTTGCCCCCCTCTTCCCCTACCGTCCTCCCCCAAGCATCCACGATCGCCAGCATATCCCCCGCCACAAACGACGTCCCAGCAAACCTCAAGATCCCGCTTCCCTCGGTACTATTATCTTGTGCCGAGCACATCCTGTTCACCCCCCTCTCCCCCTGCACCAGGAATCCCGTATTCGCCCCTCCCGAACTCGCCACAGTTCCATAGGACGCTTGCGCGCCCATCCACTCCAGTCTCCTGCGCAAGCCGCACCCCCCAGTGCTCCCACGACCACCACTCTCCTCACCCAAGGGACAGTATTTTGCAGCCCAACAATCCGCCAACGGCCTCGACTCCCCCACCCCGCGCGGATCAAAGCCGATGATGGGCTGATCACCCCCCAAGATGACCTGAAGCGCCGGGGCGAGGAGGAGGGCGGCGAGGGCGCCCGGGCCACCTGGACCGCCGGGGTTGATGAGGAGGGGGGGCTTAGCGGGAGCTGTGGTGTTGACGGTTGCGGGGAGCAGGACGAGGGCAATGTCGACTTTATTTTCTGGGGTGAGCGCGGCGGAGGGGTCCATGGGTAAGGAGAGACGGGCGCAGAGAAAGGATGGGTGAAGGGGCTGGTAGCAGGGAGTAAACACTAGGTTTTCGGAGGGGAGGATCTGGCACGGAGACTGTTAGTGGATTTGGGGGTAGGTGGGGGTGGGGGTGGCGTACAGAAGGCCAGGGGTTCATGATGTCGGTGGGGGGGGCATGATGATTGGGCTCGGAGGAGGCGAGGGGGGCGGGCTTATGGGTTCTCCATTGTTGCTGGAGGTAGGAAAGGGAGACGAGAATGGGAATGCCGAGGACGAGGCCTAGAAGGAACTCGAAGGACGAGGCCGGCCTGCGACGGGGGCGAGGGGGAGGGTGGTGGAGTTTCTCCATTTTCGCGAAAAGACCGGTGTTAGTTGATAAGAAAAAACTCAACCGGAACTCGACTGTGGCAGAACTAAAAAGGACACAAGGGGAGTTGAGGGTGGTGGGAATAAAAGGTTCACGGTGAGTTGAGCCGAACCCCGCACGCTGACGCGCCGTCGTCAACGGCAGTGGAGGGCTTAGCGGCACAGATCGGCGCCGATACGACGATACGACGGCGGATGAAACGGATGGATTGCTGCCTTGGGGCGCCAACTACAGACATTTCATCGTCCAATTGGAGAGCTCGAGCGTGGCTCGACATTAAGGACGCCTCCCATGGAATTACCACAATCCGGCAAACGGACTCCTGACCCTCCCTGCCTGGCTCTTCACGAAGTCCGTCGCGGCCGCCCCCGCGATTCTAGTCGGCCCCGTCCCGGAACACGCCCCGGCCCGGTAGTTGAAGCTTGAGGAACCACATCCCCCAACGTCGATGCCAAAGAATCCGCCTTGACCCCCCCATACACCTCCCCGTCCTAGGGCGGCGTCGCATGCTTGGGGACCGCCTCCTTGGCACCGCACTGCACCGCGCGCTCCCACCCGAGGACGGAATACTCTTCCCACCAGGGCGTCTGCTTCTTGAGCGCGGAGGCGTTGAAGAACCAGTGGAACCCGGGATAGTCGTGCATGAGCGTGTAGAGCTGCGCGTTGCACGAGTCGGCGCAGTCGAACTTGTTGTTAGCGCCGCCAGAGGATTTGTCAAAGTAGCAGTACTCGGATCTGTCCATGAACGTCAGTTGGGCGACTAGTGCTAAAAGGATACTGGAAGCTTACAGATTGCTCCCATCTACCAACCGGCACGACCGCGCCAGAATGTACTGCAGCACCTAGCTCACGGCCCAGACGCGCTCCGGCTCGATGGGCACCAAGTCGCCGGGGCGCGGTCCATCGGTGTGCATTGTCGTGAGATCTCCAGGGGTGTTGCAGTGCAGCATGAGGCCGCCGAGGTAGTCGTCAAGCGAGGCTTTTGCAGTTGGCCGAGCAGGTCAGGGCGAGGTCGGCGGGCGTGGGCTTGAAGATGGAGCGCATCGACGCAGCGAAGCCGAGCAGCGTGTCGGGGCAGTCGATCTTGGCGCGGAACGCGGCGCGGCAGCGGTCCGACGTGGTGGGAAGCAGCCGGTCGGCTCTGTAGTCCCAGTCGGGGGTGAGGCCGTCGAGGGTGATGGCGACCGTGGCCGTGGCCGAAACCACTGCGCCGAGAAGCAGCGACGAAGTCCTCATGTCGATGCTGGCGAACAAGTGAGTGTATAGGGTGAGTGAATTGACGACAAAAGGAAAATAAGGGGCGACCTCGTCAAAGGATGAAGTCGGTATTAAAGAGCACCCAGGCATCAGCGGCGCTGCAATTTCGTCTCGGGGGGGGGGGTTCGACTCCTTTAGCAGCAGATCCACCAGCACTCCACTGTACCAGCAGTCCCTGGAGTCTGACATAGACCGCGTCGCAAGATCACTGAAACCTCGTGAACCTCTTGAACCGTTGCCAGAGATTGCCCGGACCCTACTGCGTTCGCAAACCAGCAATACTTGCCCATCTATCGCCAAGGATATAAAGGAATCATTATCGAGCGAAACAATTTCCATTCCCCTCGTCACCAAGAGTCCCAAAATCCCAAACCAACACTAAATACTAGTCAGAGCATCTACCGGATATCATAGCGCAGCCGAAACACCAACTCCGTCGCCATGAAATGCCCTGGGCTTCCGAGCACCATCAAGCCAAAAACTTTTGCTCCTGCTTAAACAGCCAGTCCTGATTCTGATCAACCATGTAGTCGGTGATGTTGAAATGGCCTTGAACGCCCATGTGCATATTTCCGCCCGTCACCGCGTCCAGGCCTCCACCCATCCCAGGGCCCGAAACACCGTTAGTGCCTAGGCAGTTGCTGTGAGAAGGGTCCATGTTCACCCCCGGTCCAACAGAGAGGAGCGGCACGTTGAAGAACCCAAAGACGTCCAGATACGCGAGCTCGTTCTCGTTTGGCACCGGCGTCCGGCTGGTGGGAGTGTGGCTGGCGTGGAGGCGTTCTTGCCACCCGGCTGCCGCACCCGCCCCGCCGTTTCCGCCCGCTGCATTCACCGCTCCCCCACCAGGGATGTGTCGCGGCTGCCGACTGATGAGAAAGTCGAGGTCAAACGCTGTCCTCCTCATGTCGGCCAGGATCCTGACGCTGCTCGGCGTCTCGACGTCGCCCTGCCTCTCGCTCTCGCGATGCTCGTCCAGCACGCGGCTCAGCAGATCCGAGTATCGCCCTGCGACGGGCCAGTAGCGACCCATCTCGCGCAGCGTGTCCACAAAGACCGAAATGTGCGGGCTCAGCTTTCGCTCGACAGTGCTCCCATGAACCAGAAGCACGCGGGCTGCCACCCAAAGCGTAAAGGCAAAAGGCGGGCCCAGCTTCGACAGGAAGCCATGCCTGTTGACAAAGTCGCCGAGGGCGGCGATGTGGTCGACGGCCGCGTGGCACCGCTGTGCGGCGCTGTAGCTGGCCGTGAAGTGGGGCGACCGCGTCGTAG